AGGAGCCAGAATGATCAACAAATTGATCGTGGGCACCTCAAATATAAGAAGGGATATATAATTCACTGTTGCAAACAAGGAGTTAAACGCAAGTCAAAGTCTTCAAGGACAACAGGCCAAAGAAAATCACAAGTGTAAGTAATAATAATAGGTTAAATTTAGTTGGTCTTGTCATGTAATAATTCTTTCTCCAAGCCAATGATTATTACCACGGTAAATGTAGAGGACGAATGCCACTATTTTATCGATGGCCGCGACTAAATGTATCCCTAAATCGATGCCTATGCCTTTTTTTTAACCTGAACCCTAAATCGACCCCTCAACCTAACCTAACCCCTAATTCACTGCAACTATAATAAAGAAGCAAATGACGCCATGGCATTCATGCTCCACATTAACCCTTACCACTTTTGGCAATTCATTGAGAATTTTTATATTTTTCAGTTCTTTCAAATTGGGATGCCAGGCAAAGATAAAGCTTGTTGCCAAGAGAAATCCATCTCGGCTAGAAATTACCAAATCAATGCATGAACAAGTAAGTGCATGTGCTGCGAAAAATATTTACATAATAATAATAAATAGCATATTCTTGTGGCAGGTACTACAGATACTATAGTGTTAGAGATGGATGCATTTTAAAAGAATGTTTTGTACCATTCATTAACCCATTCAATCTAGGGTGCTCAGAAATTTTATCACTGAAAACTTTAGGTTAAGGTTAGGGTTACCACCCTTACCATAGAAAGGTTTTGAAAAAAATTAAGACAAATCTATTTAACAGTATAATTAAATTTAATAAATTCTAAATAGTCCAGACAGAGTTTTAATCTTAATTTTGATTATTGTGACATATAATAAACATAAAACATTTATCCCCAAGGTGAAGGTTAGTTATTTTTATGTACACAGCGGTGAGCCCAGCCCTAGGCTGGGGTACCGCACTATATAAGACCAATGTTCCCTCTAAGGTTTGTTGTTTTGTGTGCAAAATCATACAGTTATGTGCAAAGTTTTACAGCATCATTTTTTTTGTGTGCAAAATTTTACAGTCCAGAAACACAAACACACACTTAGAATGAAATTTGCTGTGCGGATACTCAAAACTGCGCAGCGCCTGTGAGATGGCTGCGCGGCAGCGCAGCTTAAAGGGAACCTTTTATAAGACCACTAATAATAATAATGTTTGCAGAGCATATTTTTTTACATAATACTTATTATTGCAAAGTAACCTTTGTGTGTTTTTTTTTCCAGATGTGCCGCTTGTATCCGGAAAACCGCAAGGTGGAACTAAAAGCGGCAACGCATCTGTTGATGTCCTGCACCACGATTCAGGCATCTGAGGCCCGGCAAGTGCTTGAACAACAGCATGATGTGGATTTGCTTCCCAGGGACATTTACAATATTAAGTCAAGAATAAATAAATCATCTTCTGATGCAACTGAAACTCAATCTATACTTCATTCTATATCACAAGCTGGTGGAAGTGTGTCCTATATGGACTAACAGAAAGTGGGGAATTTAAGTATTTATCATACATGACTCATGATATGATTAGAATTATTGCCCAATATCCAGAGGTTTTATTAATGGATTTCACATATAAAACCAATAAATATTTATATCCACTTTTGACTGCAATGGTTATTGATGGAGAGGGCAGGGGCATTCCTGTTCTTCATGGTTTTGTAAAAAATGAAGATAAGGAATCTATTTCTCTTTGTTTGCAGTTCTTCTGAAGAATTCTGATGCCAGTCTTTTCAAGTACTTTGTGGTTGACAAAGACATGGATGAAATCTCTGCTATAAATGATCTGTTTCCAAATGTACCTGTTAATCTATGTCATTTTCACATTAACCAGGCTGTGCACAGGTTTCTTTCGAAACATGTAGGTCCTGAGCATGTTAAGCCAATTCTTGAAGGATTTATGTCTCAAGTTTATACTGAGTCGTGTGATGAATTTTTAATGTTGATGCAAGACATGAAAGATACTCTTCCTGATGTAGCTTTGGAGTATTTTGAGTCGAACTGGTGGAGTAAGGCCCATTTATGGGCAGCATCATCCAATGCTGATGTTTTAAGACTCCATGCGACAACAATAAATCACTTGGGCGACCTAAGGTAAAACAAAATTTTACCCTGAAAAGAAAAAGATAGCTGCCCCAACAATTTTCAACTACCAGTAGTTGTATAAAATAAATATGTGAATGTTTTTAATGTTCTGAAAATTATACATTTTTGGTGTGTAAATAAATGGCTGCCGCTATTTGAACCCGGGTCCCATTAGACCAATGCTATTCAGATGTCATTTGTGGTAGATTATTTTAGTTAACATTCCTTTACTTAAACTGAAGAATTAAGTTTACAAACATATAGTCCATTCAATTATCTTTCATTTGATACCAAATTTTGTCTTACAACCTAAAATTTTTAATCCCAACCTCTAACTTCTCGGACCGGGTCCGAATAGCAACTAGCAACTTTGTAAATAAATACCCATTTTTATTATATTTCTTGGGCCAATTTTTGTTTCTTAACTTAAATCTATTGATTTATTATTTTTTAATAATTAACATATTCTACGATAATGTTTAAAAATTTTAAATATGTCTAGAAAATTCTTATCTTTTGTGAATGTGTGAATATGCCTTGCTGAAACTAGTTTTGTAAAATATTTTTTAAAGATATTATTTTTTTACCTTTGCCTGATAATTTCACATTGATATGCTTTAAATTTGATTTGACTCCTATATTTCTAATATTGCTTAATTGAATTTTCTTCTCTTTTTAAAGTGGTCCACTTAGGATTTTCCATTTATCTCTGACATCAAATGTATTATGAGGAACGAAGTTTTTATGATCTTATTATTTTTATTAGGCTCGAGGCTAGTGGGTTATTGGGAAAATGCATTCATTTATATTCTATCAATTATATCTATGTACTAAAATTGTTTTTTTAATTATTAAAATAAAAATTAATAATTGGAATGTGTTCATGATGTATGCATCCTATCTTGTTCAAGTAACCTTTAATTTTTTTTTAATAAGCATTTGTCAGTGTCTTTTTCAGCTTTTATTGATATAGCATTTTCATTTTTTATTTTTTTTTCGGACGACAATTGATGAATCAGGAGGAATAGTTTTGGAACTACATAATTGAAACTTTGCATGCTTATCTATATTGAAATTCTCTGCTTAATGATGGATGGTTTTTAAACAAATATCTCATAGGAAAATTTTTCCGAATTTTTGTATTTATGTATTTTATTTATTAGGTTTGTGAGTTAATTTTTTTTTTCTATCTTTCTGTCTTAGTTTTCTAATCGTTTTTTAATTCATGAATGGTATATGTACATGGTGTATGCATCCTATATCATTCATG